GCTTATAAATCGTTTTTTCCATAATATAAGTTGCAGTCTCATTTCCGGGCATAACAATATTTCCTTTTGCTTCTGTCTCCTAATTTACAACAAACTTTTAAAAGCAACTTATATCAACCATTTCCTGAAACTACAAAAGCAACTTATATTATATTTTCTTTACTGACTAATTGATTCCATTTGTCCTGGCTCTTGATTGCTACCTTACCCGGCGACATACTTGGTTGCTGCTTATACTGCTGTTGTTTCTCCCGAAGGTTTGTTTTTAAGATCGAGAGTCAACTGATAAACGATTTGGCATATATTATGTTTTTAAAACTTTGGTAGATTGTGTAATCCTGAAAGCCTGGAGTAGAGTATCAGTCTGGCAATTGATAGGTTGCAAGCTGCATTAATGACCATCCTCTCATGGGATCGTATGGCAACTTGCAAGTCATTGATCAAAGTTCAAAGATGAGAAGGAGAAAAGAGAAAATTATGTAAAAGTCAGATCTGAGGAGACCCTTAAAAAACGACAATAAATATGGCCAGGAAGAGGCTAAGACACAAAACCTTAGGATCAAAATTTTGATTTTTGTAAAATCAAAATCTTATTACCAAGGAAATATAAAGCAAACAAAACTACAAGCAAAAAGCAAACGAAAGTCGAATATGATAATACAAGTAGCAAACTGTTACCAGTTATGATAAGAATATAAATAAACAAACCCCGCTAATAATTAGAGACAATAGAAATAAAACAAGTTTGATTCATGTAGCTGGTCGATAACCAAAATATGGATGTGGTTGGTCTCAGCTGCAATATCAAAAGACAAAACATCCATCAAGAATTAATTTGTTACAAAGAAACAAGAATCATTAACATAACAGCAAATTCATGGTCATTTTACCGACGGATAGTACGACGAGGCATCTGCAAACGTAGTATCCTGCCGACGCAGCAGTAAGGTGTGTTCTCACCCTTTCGAAAACAACGTGTTGGACAACGGTGTTCGTTGGTATTGCTCGTCGTGCTTATGCAGAAATTGTCTAACTGACAAGGATGATGATAAGATAGTCTTGTGCGATGGGTGTGATGATGCGTATCACATCTATTGCATGAGACCTCCATGTTCATCGGTTCCAACTGGCGAATGGTTTTGCACAACATGTAAAGCTGCAATTCAAAAAGTCCGCAAAGTGCGAAAGGGTTTTGAGAAGAAGATGGAGACGTTGCAGAAACCAAAAGGAAGAAAAACAGGTAATCTCGAGAGCAGACCGAGAAGTAAAGACATTGGAGAATTGGATAAAGGCGTAGGAGGAGTGGACATGCTTCTAAACGCAGCCATTACTTTGAAAGATCAAGAGCAGATGACATTACAATCCATCAAATCAAGGATTGAAGGAAAAATCAGACAAACAATACAGCTTCTTGTCTCAAAAGATATTTTTTTGTTTCAAGACTTTAATCTTTGATTCTTTGTTTACAAGTTGTGTTTGTTTGGAAATTTGCAGAGTTCGCTAACTTTTGAAAGCAAGACAGATGATTCTGAAACTAACCCTTCTAAAATTGAATTCTTTTATAATCTCCTCATTTTGCTCAATGCTCGCTCATGTTTATAATGAACTGATCCTTGACCGAAGAGATGTTGATACTTCATCAGATTTTAAAATTGAATCATTACAATATCTTATTGGTAGAAAGTTGAAACTATAATTTACATGTACCTTTTGAATCAGTTTGTGTTTTTGGTGCATAAATATGCCATACATACATACACAAATTGTAAACTCAGTAGTTCAATCTTCTGAATCCATAAGACCACGTCCTAAATTCAAAGGCTGGAGGGTAAAAACCAAAATTTTAACATATTCAAGAATATACTGAATCGTAATGTTTGGAATTTTATTATCATTAACTAGAAGCTGACCAAGGCTACACCCGTGTTTTTCATAATAATTTTGTAAATATATTATTTCATATTTATAGAATGAATATTATAGAAGAAACTAAAATTATTAGAAATTAAAACTTACTCCATTTTTAATGCCCAAAAAAT